CTCTAACTGAAAGAAAAATTATAGAAGAAAACGTTGCGGACATGCTTAAACGGGAAGTCATCCGTCCTTCATCTAGCCCTTGGTCGTCTCCCATTGTTTTGGTCCGCAAAAAGGATGGCTCTGTGTGTTTTTGCGTGGACTACCGGGCGCTCAATAAGATCACACGCAAGGACGTGTACCCTATGCCACGCATTGACGACGCCTTTGATTCCCTACAAGGCGCGGAATTCTTTTCAAGCATCGACTTGCGTTCTGGGTACTGGCAGATTCCCATGCATGAAGACGATAAGCATAAAACGGCGTTTGCAACCCCCGACGGGCTATATGAATTCAACGTGATGCCTTTCGGGCTCTGCAACGCACCCGAGACTTTTGAGCGCATGATAGATACCGTGCTGCGCGGTCTGAAATGGAAAAGTTGCCTGTGCTACCTGGACCTCTACAGCCACTTCCGTGCCCGTCAATGCCTTTCGAGGTTGTGGGTGTTGACCTTTACGGGCCTCCCCCCTTCACATCTGCTGGCAAACGATAGATAGTGACCGCCGTGGACCACCTGACACGACACGCTGAGACTTCCTCTGTTATTACAGGCTCAGCTGTGGAAGTTGCAGACTTTATTCTTCACGCAATAATACTGCGTCATGGGGCTCCTCGTGTACTGCTTAGTGATCGCGGCAAAGTGTTCCTGTCACAAAGGGTAAATGAAGTACTCCGCGCTTCTGGAACTACTCACAAGACAGCTTCAAGCTACCACCCTCAGACAAATGGTCTCACAGAAAGATTTCACCGAACCCTTGCAGACATGATAGCCGTTTACGTCCAACCCGACCACAAAAACTGGGATACTCTCTTACCATTCCTGACATTCGCTTACAACACCGCCGTTCAGCGAACAACTTGCTACTCACCGTTTTACCTCGTGTACGGACGCACCCCGACTACCTTTCTCGACGTCTCCTTCTTTAGCAGCCATGGGAATTCGTGTCAGTCTTCTAGCGAAGAATACATTTCCCGCCTGGCTCAGTCTCGCCATCAGGCTCGCATCAATACTGAAGCGAGACAGCACGAGCGAAAGATCACCTTTGACGAATCCCACCGCGTTGTGTCTTTCCAACCTGGTGACGAGGTGCTGCTTTTGACACCTATTCGCACTCCTGGTCTCTGTGACAAATTCCAACCACGCTTCATCGGGCCATACATTGTTTTAGAACAGACTTCGCAGGTTAATTATCGTGTGACACCACTCGTCGCCCCAACAGACCGCCGCTACCGCAGCACAGAGATTGTTCACGTTTGTCGCATGAAACCTTTCACGCGACGTTCCCCGTCACTTTACTTACGGCGGCCAGGGTGTCCGCTTCCAAGTGGGGGGAATTATTGTGGGCATTTGTTACTTGCATCGTCCTCATCCCTGCATGATCACAATCACCATCATCCGCTTGTCTCTTTGTCCTCATTGCCACTCTGGTTCATCATCATCGTCATCGTCTGTGTACTGGCTCTGCCCGTTCGTTTTGCGAGGTCTTTCCTCAATTAAACGCTGTCGCAACCCCGACTACCGCACAGTGGTGATTGCACCACTTAGCTAAGTCTCTGATCCACTTGTCACATTTTTGTTTCCTACAGCTCGTGACGAGACACGAGACGTACTTCATGAACTTGACCGAGGCAAACCAAGATGGCGGAGAGCCTCAGTGGAGACTAGAGTACAGCACCGACGATTTAGGCCTGGATCATGCAGGGTACGAGGACTGGGACGCACTCATCCACACCATGGAGACCAACCAGACCCGGTTCGACCAATATGTTCGGTGAGCGCAGCTGATGCTGTATACAGTAGGCATGTGCGACACCAGACCTCGTGGTTTTGGATGTTCAAGGTTTCATTCTGCGACCTCTAAATGATAATAGTTGTGACAGAACCGAAGTTAATCAAGCCGCCACAAATTAAACCGCTTAAATCTGTCACAAACACATCGTCGGGAACATGTTGCTATCACAAATGTAGTTGTCCTCCGTCAATGTCTGACAACGATCACCGTAAGTTGGCCAAGAATATTTCTTGGCCCCGCCACGGTGGTCTAGTGGCTAAGGTACTCGGCTGCTGACCCGCAGGTCGCGGGATCGAATTCTGGCTGTGGTGACTGCATTTTTGATGGAGGCGAAAATTCTGTAGGCCCGTATGCTCAGATTTGGGTGGACGTTAAAAAACCCCAGGTGGTCAAAATTTTCGGTGTCCTCCACTACGGCGCTTTTCATAATCTTATGGTGGTTTTGGGACGTTCAACCTCACATATCGTCATCATCATGATAACCACCATCATCATCATCAAGAATATTTCTTGCTTCTTATTCTTTGGCTCGCCTACAGTTCCTTTCTTTCCTGCATATGGGCAGAAATTTCATTTGCCAGTATAATTGACACTTCCGTACTCCTGGCCGCAAGAATAACTTTACAATTTACGAAAGCCCCAGATTACTTGCTTCGCTTACTGGAGGTTCCTCATGAACGAGCTCATAGTATTTCTGTTCACAATCTAATAGAGGGCCTTGGAGGCACCAGTGGAACTGAAAACATTCGCGATTTCTCGTTATAAATCGAGCAACGCGGTGAGCCGCTTCGTTGAGGGTGCTCAGTCCGGTGTGCGCCGGGATCCATAACAGGTGCCTTCGGTTATCGAAGTCGAAAGGAGGAAGAAAGTTTAAGCGGAAAGACGGGGAGGTTAGCCAGTTCTTAGACCGGCTGGCTACCCTGTGCTGGGGAAAGGGGTGAGGGGAATGAAAGATGTTAAAAAGAAATGTTGCGAAGAGAGAAAGAAATTACAAAAAAAAATTGCGACAGGAGTAGAAGACACTAAAGTCTGTCTCTGAGGCCAGTTGTCCGCAAAAAGCGCAGCAAAGCTTTCAAAGCCTTCTGGGCTGAGGATGGGCTCGGCCAATGACCCAGAATCCTTTGTTCCGACAAAGGCCGATTGTCTAGTCTATCCAGAGCTGCAGCGAGTTCTTGTCTTTGCACGTTGAAATAGGTGCACTCACACAGAAGGTGCGCGATGGTTTCTTCGCAACTGCAGTAAGTGCATGTAGGAGAGCTGGCCATCCCGATGAGATAAGAGTATGTATGTATTATGTATGGCGAAGTCGAAAGGCTAAACAGAACACATGGGGTGCACTTCAGACAATTACAAACAGATTCATGCAGAAACCCTAGACTCATGCGCGCCATGTATCCAGACATATTCACTACAAACAGATGCACGTCATGTGGCGAGGTTGCCATCCTTAGTCACATGCTGTGGGAGTGTCAGGGCCTAATGAACAATTCGAACAGTGCCGATTCGTCTCACTCTTCCACCGCCAGCCTCCGCTCGCGTTGGAAGGCCGCACTGCTCAGCTCGAACCTGACAGCACAACTCTGGGCCGTCCAGCGTGCCGAGGAAGCCGCTTCGAGACAAGGTCTCGGAACCGCATCCGCGGTGGGTGCCCAGGCCCACTAAAAAACGCCGGACTCAAATTGTCTGGATTCGACAAATAAAGTTTATGTCCTTCTCTTTGTAATTACATCGCTACTGAAAATGATTGTAGCGTTTTGTATATCATTGTAAACGTTGCAGGCAGTCAGCCTTGATGCAAATGCAGCAAACCACAAGAGCCTGCAGCTAAGCCTATTGTGTGGCAGCTGTTAACATTATCTGCACCCGCTCCTATAGCTGCCATTTCTAACCAGCTTTAAAACTTTGGTGTGATCATGAACATCATGAATAGCTTAAGAAGCATGTTGCCCTCTCTAACTTTTCATGTCATTAACTTAATGACAAGGAGAGTATTAAAATGCGGCGCCACAGTTGTTTTCGAGCACGTGAACTTATCGCTTAGGAAAGGTGGTCAATTGTCTAATCGTACAACTTTCGAATGAAGAACAACCTTCATGTCAAGGATAGCTATAACCCCACTTAGTTCATTTAAAGGGCATGTCACAATTCTGGAACACCGTAGCCAGAAAATACTTAGTACCATCATACATCTACTTCTTTTTTAAGTTCAGTTATGTCAACAAAAAATAATTTGTTGACCCTTCAAATTTCTTGCCAGATTGTTCCGGCATTACGACCTTGTCCAGTTATGTTGATTACATTGCTTTTCTTTCAACTGAACCTTTTAAATTTTATGCCACCTGCACCAACTTCTCAACGTGACTAGAAGTGACCAGCCCATTAATGCGGCAGCTCTTGCTAATTACACTTGATTTGTTTCTTCTTCAGCTAGAGTAGATTACTAATGTTCGTTAGCAAAATTAATATATTTTAATCAAAAATAAAAATAATGAGAACTGATCCGATTTGGTATTAAGCCTCTTTATATCTAATCACGGGCACGCGCAGGGTTCCTCTTCAAGGGGGGGGGGCGGCAAAGGTTATTAACAGTGCTCCCCCTTCAAATGTATGGCGCAGACATTGCGCACCCCTCCTGCTCTTAGGAACCATTGCGGCATTCCGTAGTACTGACTTGCAATGTCGTCCACTGTTTAATCATATCCAGATCTAAAACTACACGCGTTAACTCATTCTTAGCGCTATATTTTGTTGTTTAGCAATGTTAAAGCTACAAACTTTCTGCTTCTTCGCTCATTGGGTGGCCCTGATCAGCTCGTACTTTGGCCTTATATCCGTCCGCAAGATTTACGTCAATGCTATTCGGGCATCTGATGGCAGTTAAACTCTTATTCGCAAGACAGTCTGAAAAATGTTGATTAGCGCAATGAACCTTTCGCGTTCACGTGTGAATGGGTTCTGTTATCGAACAGTCCCATGAATACAGTAGTGTTAGTTACGTTAAATCACACACTCTCTCTCAACACATCGTTCCAAAGAACACAGTGCCCTGGTAGTGGCATTCAGGTTGGAAAACAACTCGAGCAACCAATTTATCGACTTTTCCGTATGGTCCACTGGAAAAGAACATTGTCTCCGTACCTACACTAACAGCCCTATGTCTGTTGGTATTCACGTACATTTCGTCCTCCCAACAAACAGACGGGCATCTGTGAGCTTTAGGGAATTCTTTGGCGTGGCCCTGAGAAGCAGATTTTACACTAAGGTAACTCTTGCTTCTCCGTCTTGCCTGCCGGCGCTGCTGTTGACGTTCGCATACATGCTGCAGCGGTTGTGAATAGAGTATCATTCCCCAATGCGACAGGGACTGTGATTCGCAGTACCACCTGGCATCCACTTGCTTTTGAGGGTAGAAAGGTGCCCCAAACTGCGCTCCAATGTGCATGAAAACAAATATCGAGAAGGTGGCTTTTTCATTCTCTTCCATGTTCTACCACCCCCTCCCCTTTCCCACCACGAGCTTTCGTCGTGCTCCCTTGTGTGTCGAAGATCCGCCTGTTCCGTTTGTTTCGTCCTGCGTCTTCTGTAGTACGGGTGACCACAACTTACTCAAGCTACGCAAGCACAGGTTTTTTTTGTTTTGTCGCCTTTTAAAATGCACTTGTGCATGGCTAAAATACAGTTAGGATTGATTGATTGCTTGGCTGATTCATTGAATTATTGACTGAATGTTTGATTGACTGATTGATTGACTGATTGATCGATTGATTGATTGATTTCCTAAGCGCGAAGCCACTTTTTTTTCAGGTACACGACGCGTCGCGAAGGTGAGGAGACCAGGTGCGACGACGAGTGTCGCGAGCTACTTCTGTGCCGCTGGAGAACAGACCGGGCGCACGATTACTCGGCCTGTCCACGGGACCCTACTGCCACGTGAACAATGCCACTGGGACTCAAGAGAAGCAATCGCAACCGGACGTGTAATCGCGAGCAATGACTATATGCAGCACTGAATCTGATTTCGAAAACTCGATTCCAACTCGCAATTCGAATCTGTTGCAGGTATACAACGTTTTCTAATTACACGACCTAGACTCCTTCGAAGGCTGTGCAGCAACATTGTGATCCGACTATGACAACCACTGTCCGATGGTACTGCACGACAAGCGCATACTAAATCTGAACTTTCATTTGACAAAAACGAGTATATACAAGAAGCAGAACCAGACATGCACCACAGGCAAAAAGTTTTCTGCATCTTGTCCCACGTTATTTCGAGTTATTTTTCCCCACCAGTACCCAACTCACCTAACAGCCTTCAAATTCCGCGTATTATCACGTAACAATAAATGCACATTATTTTCGATAGTATAAGCTGCACACCATCCTCATACGCTCGACGACGAACTTTACACGGAAGACGAAAGCTTTTACACAAAGAGCCATGGTTGGCGTCCAGTGAATTCTCATAACTGCCCTTTTGTTTCGCTAACGCTAGTCGCAGATTTTCGCCCCATTTTTGAGGACACAAAGCGCCCACAGTGGAGTTGTCAGATCCATTTAAACAAGCGCATATTGCGCTCGTTTCGCCGGGTCGCTGGTATAAGTCTGCAGTTGCTTGTCGCATTAATTTTTATATAACTTTTTGTTGTTATACTAAATTTCTGGGATATATTATCTTAGTGATCATCATGTTCATCTTCACTAATACTGAGTTTGTCGAACACTGAGTAGTTGAGTGTTGAACTCAAACATACGCTGGGAGAATATCAACAATCAACGGTAATCAGGCAAACGTACATGCGTGAGTGTATTGATTTTTTCAACTTCGCTTTGTATTTGAGTGAAATTGTTTTATTAAAATAAAAATATTTTAACGGACGAATTCCTTAAACTTCCGCTTCTTCCACGCTGCTTCGTGAAAGTCACGCTGCTAGTTCTTTTTTCTTCTAAGGGGTGGGGGGGTGGGGAGGTCTTTCGTTTTGAGATGAATATGTATTTGTTTGCTCGTGATTGTGTGGCAACTCTGATACACGGGTCATTCGCAAAAAAATTCAAAGCATGACGATATCGCAGAACGCTGAAAAAAAAAGCTTTTTTTTTTTCGGGCTTTGGTTTTGGTCTTGAAGCAGGCCTTCTCTAGCTAAGTTGTAAAGTGGGGAACAGGACGCGAGCTGGCATAGCTTCCTAATGTAAAGCAGAACAAGAAAACGGTGGTGACAGAAGCATTCGTTGCCGCTGTAGAGCACGGAGGCCGAGCCATCTACACGGCACGCGGGTTCTTCTTCACTGTGAGGAGGCACCCTAGCTAGGCAAATGAGAGCCCCTGAAGCGCAATCTTCTTCATCACGCAGAAGGATGATCCGGCGGTGATCTAAAGCAGAGGTGCTGGTCATGATGGTCTCCTACTCAGACACAACGTCAGCCAGTACTGGGGGCTGAAGGAAATGCGAGGAGGATGTGTAGGAAATCTCCCAACTTGCCGCAAAGTATGCATGTAAAGGGGTAATAATTAGGGTATTACGTGTTCAGTAACAGGGAATACGGAGCTGTTCGAGTTTGTAGGCGTCGCCAATGTGGATGCGATTGGATGGGTTTGGAGTGCGTATTCTTTTCGATGGTCCCGATAGCATGATGGAATGTCACGGAAGGAAAGCAAGTGCTCATCGGCCTGTGGAGGGGACTTTGTTTCTAACGACCGGAATGTGAGACCTCGGGCTAAAGAATGAGCCTCCTCGTTGCCAAGGAGGCCGGCATGTGCTGGCGTCCAGATGAGGGTTGTGGAATGCCGGGGCTGCTAGAAGCGTAGTAAGCGAGCAGTTGTGCGGGATATCAAGCCATTGACATGGATCAGAATAGCCGATTTCGAGTTGCTTCCGATTGTGGTGGCGGATGTAGAGATAAGCGCAAGCTCGATGGCTGCATCTTCTGCCTCTGTTGAGGAACTGGTGATGATTGAGCATGACGTTAGAAGTTTTGCTTGTTTCTCAGCTGTACCGCCAGGGTCATGCCAGTATCCTTAAATGTATTCCGCTACGCCCACGTAGACCGTGTCATGGTCCTCGCTATACTGTTTCTGGAGGGCCCGAGCCCTTGCCTTTCTGCGTTTGCGTCTCGCATAGAATGCATGTTCTTTGGGACGGAGGTACGTTTTGAACACATTATAAAGTTTTCGTGCCCAATATTCAAGCGCCTCGCGTTCTTGTGTACTTTCCTAGCGGGCGGTGGGCGAGTAGGACAACGCAGGAAAAAACGCAGTGAGCTTGCCAGCGGCAATGCTAACGCACTCGACCGGGGAATACACAACATCGCTAATATATTTTCTCTCTGTATCACTTCGCTTCACTGCTTTGTAATACTCTAACTTTTGTGAGTAAGAACATATAAGCCAACAGGGTCAACACACTTGTGTGGATGTCAGTTAGCGATTGCCAACATCTACCAAATGCTTCTTCTCACAGTGGCCGTGTTTCGCCCAATAGTTCGACATACCGATTTCATGAAGTACCCACGGTTGCTGAGTGAGTGGCTGCGAATTATAGACACCACGAGGCCACATATTTCCCTTACCGCACGGGTCATCTTTACTGCCGCAGGGTGCCTTCAGAGACTTAGTCTATGAAGCTGAGTGTACATTTTAAGCGTTGCCTTTGCAGCGCCTAAAATTTTTCTTCGATCACGTGAGTGTGGGCTTGCCTGTTCACATATTGGGAAACTTCCAGCTGTTTATTCACACTTTGTTCAAATGAACGGGGGTATATGAAAGAACACAAACGCCCAGTCGCACTTTTTGTTTGTATAATGACTCGACAAAAAACATTATAAGCGTTCTTCAATTCCTTGTTCGTCGGAGAACAAGAGCGAAAACATCTTCTCTGTGAAGGAATGTCCCCCTAATAAAAACCGCAAATTAGTAGCACAATTGGAGCGCCTATTGCGTCAGTTGTTGATATATATTCGGGCACACTTACGACGCCAGTAGAAACAGCTAAATAATGGCACAATACACTGAATGCGCCATGCATTGCGATATCCAATGAAAGCAATTCGAGAACTGGACGGCGTGAATGCCCTGAAACACCAAAAATGTTGGCAAACAATTACGTTATTACACTGTACAAACATTCGATAGACGGCTAATGTATCATAAATAGGGCTTCCGAGAATTCGAATCCTGTTTGCGAGCGTCTGGTTTCGTGTTGAAAGCCATGCGCAGGAAATGATCTCCCTCCCATGTATATTCCCTATAAAAATTGCGTAAAATTAAACAAGAGCTGACGCGCAACCAGACACTGCTAGCGACGCCACGCAACCATGCGTGCACTATTCTCACTCGGCGCACTTCGTCGGCGTCGTCATCCGGTCACCGGGACGACACCGAAAGGCGCTCGTGAAGTTGCCACTGGCGGTCGTGTTCCCAGACCGGAGCGGAACGTTACACAGCTCGCTGGCGCCCGGTTCTCCGCAGACGGCGAAGCACCACGACACGAAGAAGAGGCGGTCGTCGGCGCGACGATCGGACCGAACGTCGCCGGAACTAGACGGCACGACGTCGCGGCTGTGGTGCTGCCAGGCGTCGAGGAACGCCTTCCAGAGCGACTCCAGCGAGGCGTTCCTCAGCGCCAGGATCCTGGCGACGGCGCCGGCAGACGCGCTCCAAGAGCTGGCGCTGGCCATCTCCGTCTTGTTCAGGCAGGCGGCGAAGCTGTTGACGAGCATGTCGTACTCTCGCGGGTCGCCGGTTTCGAAGTAGTTGGCCGCGACTAGGGTGGCCAACAGCGATCCAAGTGCGCCGTATTTCAGCGGGATCTGCGGATGTGTACACGCGGATCTTCCGTGAATGGGGACACTTGCGTGCGGGGCATGTCAGAATTTTCTCGCAAAAGCATATGCAATCACGTCATACCATACCAGTTTTGCAACATGCCATGTAAACGAAACCAACGCAAGAGCTGCAGGATCATGAAATGTAAATTATGACATTCATGACATACATGTCATGATTTTCATGTTATTACTAGTCAAATATGTTCTTCATATAATAATGTTACGTTATACCAAGTTTGGTATCGATACCATTATCGAAACTGCCAGGTGAGCTAAAAGTCACGGACGAACGGACGGACGGACAGACGGACGGACAGACAGACAGACAGACAGACAGACAGACAGACAGACAGACAGACAGACAGACAGACAGACAGACAGACAGACAGACAGACAGACAGACAGACAGATAGATAGATAGATAGATAGATAGATAGATAGATAGATAGATAGATAGATAGATAGATAGATAGATAGATAGATAGATAGATAGATAGATAGATAGATAGATAGATAGATAGATAGATAGATAGATAGATAGATAGATAGATAGATAGATAGATAGATAGATAGATAGATAGATAGATAGATAGATAGATAGATAGATAGATAGATAGATAGATAGATAGATAGATAGATAGATAGATAGATAGATAGATAGATAGATAGATAGATAGATAGATAGATAGATAGATAGATAGATAGATAGATAGATAGATAGATAGATAGATAGATAGATAGATAGATAGATAGATAGATAGATAGATAGATAGATAGATAGATAGATAGATAGATAGATAGATAGATAGATAGATAGATAGATAGATAGATAGATAGATAGATAGATAGATAGATAGATAGATAGATAGATAGATAGATAGATAATCCCAAAGTCGCCGAAGTTCGCTGAGAAATGCTTCGCATTTAAAAAAAGTATGCGTGACTCCTGTCCGGTAGTGCTGACTTTTTGCGAGTACTCTCTTCAAATAGTCGCGTTGACTCTCTTTTGGTTCCCACGGCTCTCCTGCGAAAGTATAACAATTCTCCAAAGAGCGTCTATGTATCTCACTGAAGATATGCGAGCCAACACTCGCAAAATGTATTTTTGTGCATTTATACGCCCATGGTGATTACAGCGTTGGACCCAGAACGGATCAGTGTTGCGATCTGTGTGAAATTTCGTCCACACTGCAGGACTCGTTTTGCACCAGGCCAGTGCTGCTACGCTGGGGAAGAAGAAAAAAGAAAGGCAGGGCAGTAAAAAAAAAAAAACGCGTGCCCAATTTACGCCTCACTTTTTTTACATTTGTATGTAACTTCACTTTCAATCTCCGATAAAAAAAGCAACAGGTGTTACAGGTAGTTGTTACAGTGCTGCTGCGACTTTCCCCGAGTGCGTCAATGAAGTCAGAGAGCCATCGCAATATACGCTTTCTAAAAGGGCAAGTTTTGAGCGGTGCAGGAGATATCTACTGACTTGTGCGAAGGTGTGGCATGTGCGCATACTTCTCGAATATTTGCGCATACCTCTGCTCATCATATTTTGATCTTGTTGCCAATTTCCCACCTATTCCCAGCGAGCCAAGTTTTGCCATTTCCTTTCAATAAAGGTCGCTTGCATTTATTCAGTTTACAAAGCAACACCATTGCTTCTTCTGACGCGCCTATGTACAATCGATCGTGCGTTGCGGGTTATGGATCACGAAACTTGCAAGCTATCAATACCGTTGATCAGTTCCACCTTGACGGCCATTGTTTGAGCCGACAGTTTGGACACCGACAGGAACAACCATCCCGGCAGGTGATAAGCGAATAGAAGCTTCCCCAATTTCTACCTGCCGCAAGAACTACGCACTGTTCAACCTGTCAACAGGGAGCTTTAGAATAGCGCCCCATGAGCCCTTGTGCTGAGGTCGCTGCCACTGCGCACACGTCGTTACGCGAGTCGCCATTCGCGTTCGCGACCCGCCCGCAGAAAATCCGAAATAGCGGCTACGTGTGCGGCCTGCATGCGGCCCCCAAACGCTGGTTTCGAGGCTACGGTGTCGCTGCGATTGA